CTGAAATCAACTGTGGGGGGAGGGAAAGGATGTGCTTAAAGAGTAACTAAACTAAAACTAAACTAACTTTCTTCAGCTGAAAACCAATGTGCATGTGAATTTAGTAGTGTTGTTGATGGATTTAGGTCTTAGTCTTGCAATTCTGGGAAAAGTATTGTGTTGTATTGACTGTTATAAATATGCATAGCGACTGCACTCTACTATTTGAAACCGGGCTATGACAATTACATTGTTTTATCAGCTGATCTGGAGGCAGCTTTTGTCTGTATTAAAGCAGGGGAATCGGGGTGAGATGTGACCCCGATTGCCACCGGGTATTTCGCACACTGACCATAATCCTAACAATCGTCAACATGCTGTCAATTAGCATCAGCGCTAGAAATGAGCAAAAGCAAATTAAAAAGGGTAACTGGCATCATGAACGGTACGTTAAAAAGCAGTTCGTTTTGGCTTCAAGTCAAAGTAATGTAGACGAAGCCCAGCAGATCATGAGGTGCTTTTTATGTTCTGTAGCATGAAATCAGCTAAACTTAGCAGCAAGCTAGCTAGCTGATTAGCTAGCCCCTAAATGAGGCAATTGAACAACTTAATGTTGCACGCTGTTAAACACTCTTGTGACAGTGTAGGAAAGCACATTGCCATCAACAGATAATCAGTCATTAACACTGATTTACCAAATGTTGTAATGTGCTGAAGGTGTAATTTCACGTCTCCAGAGAAGAGAGGAAAAGGCTTGTGCTGTGATTGTAATTCCACCAGAAACTGAGCAAACACGTGTAATAGCCCCACCTCTACCAGCTCTGCCCACATTGATGTTGAGGCCCTTTTTTGAATTTCCACACATGTGGTTACTTTTTAATGTGAAGGTGTGTTATGTAACTGCTGCAATGTTTGCGCAGTGCAACTGTTCAGTGTGCTGTCACTCTCTCATCCTCCCTGTCATCAATGCATGGTGGTGTTGCAGGAAGCGCGGAAAAACTACTAGTTACCCTTGACACCTGTGTCACCCCGCAAACAGCAAGTAACGTGTGCATTTGAGGAAACGCACGATGCACATCGAACAGAACCAGTGGTTTGCAGTAGTATGGATCCACGCTATTTTACACACACACACACACACACACACACACACACACACACACACACACAGATGGAAACTCGTAAAAGGACAGAGAGGTTCAGAGTCAGTATTGATGAAATATTGACAGACTGAAACAATTATGCAACAGAGTTGATGACCAGGAGAACATACATGTGGTGTAACTACAATTACATACGTGATAACAAACTATGCATTTAGATTACAATGCATGCGCCTGCTCTGTGCCTTCATGAATGAATTTAGATGCTATTTTATTGCATCCTCATGTAATGCACTTTGAATTGTCTATGTAACAAAGCTGCAGTGAAGCACCCAGGGCACCAGTTACATAAAGTCCAAGTGTTTCTGTTTTTAACTAAAATGTTGTGAACAGACTGGAGCCACGAGCCGTTTTACAATTTGTAAAGTCAGTGGGCAGTAGGAGAAGTATGCAGAGGTTTACTGTTTTGTCTGAAAATCACAATGGGTCTGGCTGTTTTAATCCGCACCGTGAGTCACTTTATGTGATTTAATATTTGTTGCAATGGTTACACATGTAGGTTAAGTTACATCTCATTTAGGGGTAAACTCGAAGCTCAATTTTTACACTCAATTTTGTGTACCGTACACCCCTACTCTCAGCTGATTCTCAAGTCTTATAAAGCAAGGATTCTCTGTCTTTCTGTGTGCTCTTCGCTTATCTCGAGAACCGTTATCTGATCTACTTCACACTTGGTGGGTGTTTTGCTGGGGGCCCCATGGTGTGCTTTGCAGAATTTGGACACGATCAATGTCAGTAAACTTTGGATAAACTAGCGCTATGTGTGGCGTCAGGGGTTAGGGTTGGGGGGGGCTTCAGGGCCCCGGATTTGATCATGTCGTCCTCAGTGGGGCTTTACAGGCAGCTACATATTGTCTGCAGTTCACTTTTGCTGCTGGATATACTAGCGTTACTACCAAACTCTTCTTCGCGTCCCTGCAGCAAGTCCGGAACAGGGAGCCAAACAATCGACCCGCTCCATACGGGCACGCCCTGTGGTATAACAGCTACGAAAGAGGACTCATTATTAGGAACTGCACATTAAATGTGCATTATGCACTAAAAAAAAGTTGTACTCATTTATTTACCACAGGAATATTGCACAGGTGTGTGATTCTGTGCACTGATTTTAATACGCTAGAGTATAGACAATTATTATCAGGACTGAAACACTGAAACTACAATAAAGAGATCCCTTAAAATTGAGAACCACTGTGTGAAGCATCAGCTTCAACATGGATGGATGAGACACCATAAACGAGAGCTGCTTTAGTCATTAGAGAGCCGCGTGCCTCACACACAGCCACACACACACCGTCCACAGTGATTGGCTCCCCTCCTGAAGCTTCCTGAAGTTCATCCTGGGATACCAGCAAATGCATGCATCCCTGCGTATCTCTTGTTTTTCTTTTATATCTCTCCATTTAGCTCCTCAAGCTCCACCATCGCTGCTTCCTTCCTGTCGTCACGGCGCACGAGCGACATCCCAGCTTGTCTTTGTGGCATTCCTCCACTCCACCATGTTTCCCAGAATACACCCGTCTCAAGGTGACTCACCGCAAAAGGCATCACTTTCTCTCTCTCACTCAAGTGGAGAGAGGGGGATCCAGTTCCAATCCCTCCAAAATCCAGTGCCAATCCCTGGACCTTTCCTCCGAACAGGGCCTCCCCGCGAGGCCTGCAGGGGCTGACCTTCGCTTCATCTCTGCCACCTGTTCTCTCACCCACCCACCTCGATCGTTTGCCCCCGCAGCGACAGCTCCTCTCAATCGATTGGCATGGATTAAATGGCACCAGTTGCCTTGTCAACCCATTTCACCCCAATCTCCTCTCTCACTCCGCCCCTCCAGATGGCAATCCACAGCCTGAACATGGGAGTTTCCACGAAACACACACACACACACACACACACACACTGTCCTCCTCCTGTCTCTGACGCAGTGGTCAGAGTCATGTGTGGTTCTCCCCCTCCGGCGCTCTAGTGGACAGCATCACAAAGCGTGACAGAGCGGCACCATTTCCACGCCTCGGCCCGAATGTGCCCTCGTCCCATTCCCTCAAACCCGGATGTGGAGCCGAGTAGAAACCACCGCCCATCACACTTCATTAGCAGGGACGGCCCATGACACCACGAACACAGAAGAAACGGTGCTACAGTGCTTCTTCACATCAGGCTCCACGTACTAAAACACAACACTATAATGCAAATACTTTAAGTCATAATATAGCATGCGGTGGGAGATTATGAAATTTCATAGAGCAATAAAAGTAATACGTCATGGCTGACTATAAACACTGGATAATGCCTTATAATAACACTACGGGGATGCAACAATTTTCTGCCCTTCATGACCTGACAGATCAGTGCTTGTGTGAGGGCTGCTGGGGCTGAAAACGAGATGGTGGAGGTGTTGGCTGTGTCTAACCCTGGTGGAGAGCGCCTTCCTTTTGGACTCATCCGCCCGATTTATAGGAGGAGGGAGGATGCGACGGTTGAGGTTTTGACCAACGCTGAGGAACCATTTTGACGCACTTGTCTGTGCCCATTTGGTACCCAGACATAGGCTGCCTCCACATCCTCACTAAGCATCAGTGACAGTGACATGGTGCACCCTCGCATTATGTAATGTTTTTAATGAAAATGCACCAAATGGTTGGTTGAGAAAAAGTAGAAGAGGGGTTTCATTCCCAGTCCCCACCCACTTCCACTTCATTATTTCCCAAAAACAGTCCTATTACAAATCCACGACTTTCCACCACCCCTCCTTTTGTTAGGATTAACTGACAATACACGTGCGTCTGATGATCAAGTGTCTCTGCAGTCAGACTTTGGGAGGAATGACATGATATTCCGCAGTCGGGGCTGCGGTTTTCGCCATCAGCGGGTCAGACGTCCCTCGTTTTCACTCGCACATTATTCACCAAACTATTTTGATTTCTGGCCGGACACGCCCGTGTCATAACGCAGTCTGACTAATCGTGTTTTGGGAGCTGTGAATTCCCTCAGTCGTCTACAGCGGGTCAAGCTCCTGTGGGGGGGGGGGGGGGGGTCGGTATAATTTCGTTCTTTTTTATTTTTTTAACCTGTGAATGAAGCAGCACATCTCCCCGCTACTGCTTATTAGAACACTATTAATCCCTTTGTTTTTAGTTAATATGACATGACGTTGGTCAGCATTCTGCGCCCGTTGTCAGATTTGTTTGAGCGCCAAAAATCGCCAGAAAGCGTCTCTCTCTCTCTCTGCCTGAAGAAACATTACAGACCACCGCTCCCCATCCACCGAAGGACATCATGGGATTTGGGGAATTGTTTGATTAATCGCCTTTAATGTGACGTTAAGCAGGGGCGGTAAAAAAAACAACAGCGACATATTTGTTATTTGGTTGAGAAGAGACGACTGAGACTGAGGATCGTTAACGCGTATCCACCCTGCACCGGTTCTGTCGCACCGACTGGACTCTGGTTGCGGGGTAACTGACTCACGAATGTCGCGCACATTCCTTAGAAAAAAGACGGTCGTGTTCAGGCAACTAACATCACCGTTATTACCCGATAATGTCAGTCGTCGTATATTGTAACGCATTGATTTGGCGTGATAAAGGACGTGTCTGCCATACACATATGGCAGACACCCGACACGTTAATGTCATGACACAGAGCCGTTCACTGAAATGGCAGTGGCATAAAGTATCGGTCTGTCAGCCACGTAGTGATAGTTAGCTTAAACATATAATACATATCCCACCGTGTTCAGTGTCATTCTAACACCACGTCTGCACTTTAACCCTTTCCTCAACCCTGTACAGCGAACTTTACCAGAAGATACTTTTTTGTTTGTTAACAACATATTAGCTAAAATCACAAGAGTTAGTTCTTACCCCCATTTCGGCGCAGTCAGTCGGTTCTCCTCAGAAGATGAGTCTCTTTTAGGGTTGGTTCAACCAGAGTAGCTTTAAGACGGGTAGACGGGAAACAGTCGTCTGATGAGAAGAAATAAAAATGTCACCCATCAGTTGACAGCTATTGCTCTACTGACACAAATAAATGAACTACTAACATAACACTCTCAATACGAACGTTTTGAAGAGGAACGGGAATATGGTAACTTGACAAAGGCAAACTTTAGGCAAAGCCGCACCCCGTTCGGATGAAAATCAAAAGGTTTTATCTCTCCGGCATAAAATGTTAAAAATTCATATGCAGCCGTTGGTGGCACTTCACCAGCCTTCTCTCCCGTAAGGCGCAAATGATGCCAGTGGAAAGTAGACCCGCACAGCAGGCTTCTTCTTCGGATGCTGTCTCCCTCCGCGGCTGTGCCCAGGGCTGCCGCAGCACTCAGGGTTCCCTGATTTTTCACTCCGCGGATGAAACCAACGAGGCAGTTAACGTTACATGTTCTAACGTTTCTAACCCGATCAGACTAGTGCTGTGTTCATTTGATAAACGTACCAAATATATTGATCACGTGTATACACCTTATATCAGTTTTTAGGCAATAAATACGTTTTGGAAACAGGGAACCAAATATTTTTTTTCTGGAATATTAATGCAAGACAGAAAAACATGAGGCGAATTACTGATTCATGTGAAAGGCCTTTGTTAAGTTGAATCACTGATCTGAAGGGCAAATAGTAAAATACACAAGCTATTTCAACTGTATCTTAAAGCATAAACATAACTGGATTAGTTCAAAAAATGTTGTTGGGCCTCGACTGACCTCCCACCTATTATGCTCTGTGCAATGTGTATCTAATAATACGCACAGCAGCGGTGGCCAAACTTTTTTGGATATGGGCCAGACACAGAACAATATAAGTCACGCGCCAAACTAAAATAAATTAATAGTTTTAAAACATTTACACTGCACTAAAATCATGCAATAAATAAGTATATTCTATAAAAAAAAATAACTACGCAACACTAAACAGTTTAACATTGGACATTTCAGTATTGTATTGGTGTGCCCACACATTACAATAAGCATTTCTGTATCTGCTGCTATTCAATTTAATTCAAAATAATACTAAAAACATTGCTTATCCACTTAAACTATTATGATGTTTTGTGTAAATATGTAGATAAATAAAGTTAAAACTGGCCTAAAATTGGCAAAGAAATTGTTTTCTTTTCATGGCCTACGCTTAAGGAGTACCACATTTGTGTTAGTTTGTGGTAATTTGATTAAACACAACTTTATTTAGGAATATTGACCATGTAAAGTAGTGGTGCAACGGATCATAAAACTCACGGTTTGGATCGGATCACGGATCAGAGTCCCGGATTGGATCACAAATCGGATCAGCACAGAAGAAAAAATGGAGCAAATATAACTTTTAGAGATCGCTGATCACATTTTTTTTGCAGCCAACACCGATTGCCAATCATTGATGATCCATATTGGCAGATGCAGATCCCTTTGTTGTTTGATTAAATAGCGATCTCAGCTGACATTGGGCGAAGGCAGGGTTCACCTGACAGGTTGCCAGACTATCCCAGGGCTGACATATAGAGACAGATATTCACACTCACATTCACACCTACGGGCAATTTTGAGTCGTCAGTTAACCTATTCCATGTCTATGGACCCTGGAGGGAACATGCAAACTCTACACAGAAGGACCCCTTTTGCTGTGAGGTGACAGTGTTAGCCACTACACCACTGTGCAGCCTCATGTAAACACAGTATAAGTTAAAAATAATAAAGCTCTTAAAACTACATTTTCTCCACAAAACACTTTCAACAATATCAAAGGAAACAGGACCTGCCTTAACTGATATGGTACTTCAAATTACCAAAACTACTGTCACAGTGGACCTGAGACTTTTTGCTGCAGGGCAGTTGGCATGCTTTACTCAGTTGGTAATCCAGCTTCCGGCCGCGTCTATGACCGAAATAAAATGTGCCAAAAAATGCATGGACACATGTGAGGCAGACGCATGTTTGGAATTTCCAAATGTTAAAATTCTCTGGTTGTAGAAAGTTATTTTGTCTCAGCCTGCAGATGTGGCACATTCATAGGAAATGTGTTGTCAAATAAGAATTGTGGCGATCATAACTCTTCAATCAGATGAAATTAGGCATGTTGTTTAGCTGGCAGCAGCTGTTCCAACTGCAGCTTCTCTGTTGCACAGAAGAAGAAAAAAAACTAAAAGCATGAACAAAGTGCACATCTGCATCGTCAATGGCATCATGGGAAAAAGACTGGAGCATCCAAACTATTCTCCGAAGGCAGGATACAGCCTGCGTTATATGGCGGTATATGACGAACAGATGTGATACGGACGAGAGCGGCAGTGCGGCATTCAAAACACAGGATTGACAATTGAGAGTGGAAAACAGAAGTGCGGCGCTGAGGAGGAGATTATAGAGAACGGCAGAGAAAATAATAATCGCAGAGAAAGCATGGAAAGGAAAAGGAGGAGTGAGATGCAAGAAATGAGGCCTTCCTTTACTGGCATCACACTGGAATAAAGATGGCTAACACAGTTGCTAATATGGGCAATGTGATGTTTATGGTCGGTCAGAGCAAAGCCGAGGCTCCACATGCTTTATGTCTGTGTGCATCACCTGCTGTGGGAGATTAGACAATTACACTGGTTTTTAGAGCTTTCAAATAGAGCAGGAGGCTATGAATACTGTGCAGCTGCCATACACGCACTTACACACACATCCTCGCCTGAGGTGAATCATCCGTGATCAGCGAGCTAATGAACGAAGGGGGAAAAGCATACGATAGTGCTCAACACATGGGCAAATGAGACGGTGATTGAGTGTGTAAATGTCTGGTCGACATGTGTGCGTTGCTATGGACATGTTTGTATGTGAACGTGTGCAGGCTCGGCTGTGTGAGCGTGCCCCGCTCCGCTTAGAGGCAGCCACCGTGTTCAGATGAGATCGATACTCCCCTCCGTCATAATTGAAATCGTGGCCCGGTTTCTGTGCTGCTTTGTCATCCAGCGTGCACCTCTCAATCAACAGGGCTTTTATTTTTTGTAGCAGATTCTGAACGTGAGCTGGGAAAAAATATATATACTGCGTCACTGTGACTTCAAAAAGTCATGTTCGAGAGATGTGACAATGGGAGCAGGCATGGACAGATTACTGAACGAGCCTCCCGGGCACAGGCCCAGGGGACAAAATTGTCAGGGGCCCCATCCTCTGGCCTTCAACTACAAAATGTCACTCATAGAGACATGTACCAACCAGGTAGAGACAAAATAGAATCAAAACAACAACAAAGACACATAAAACGACTACAAAGAGACACAAAGCAACTGCAAAGAGACACAAAAAGACCACAAAGAGACAAAAAATAACCACAGAGACACAAAATGACCACAGAGAAACACAAAAACACCACAAAGAGACACAAAAAGAACACAGAGAGACCCAAAATGACCACAAAACGACCACAAAGAGACACATAAAGATGCATAACAACCACAAAGAGACCCAAAACCAGAGAAAGACGTGCAATGACTACAAAGAGGTAAAAGCATCACAAAGTCTGCGGTGTCTTGCTCCTACTGTGTGTAGGAAAGATGGTGGGGCATTTTGCATGTCAAGTGTAATGTAGCAGCGACATGGACCATTTATGTATTGGCTTGAAGTACAGCCAACCAGAAAGCAACAAAAAGACATCACATCTGTGTAAATAGGTATTAATTGGAAATAAACACAAAGAACAACGTATTGGGGGAAGCCTCCTACCTTTCCATTGACACCAGTAATAACTTGTTCCTACTTCAGCATGTTGACTCATCTTTATGCAGCCAGCTGCTAAAAGATTGCTTTTGAACATTACTGGTGACGAAATGACAGTAAATACGTGGTGGAAGAAGTACTTAGATCTTTTACTTAAGTAGCATTACCACAGTGTAAAACATAATACTCCTTTTACATACTCTTACTTACTTTAGTAAAAGTGCAAAAAATATACTCAAAGTCCATAAAAATAAAAGTACTCATTACGCAGAGTGGCCCATTTGACAAGAATATATATATAATATACCTGGATGATTATTAGTGATGCATTGATGGTAATTTCAACTACTTGAGTAGAAGCAAAAAGTAGCATACAATCTGATCAGGTTTATGCTTCAATACGAAATCCTCCTGGGCAACTCCTATTCATAACGCTAAATGTGTTGCACACTGTTAAGTTTTCTTCTTATATTTTGACATTTCTTTATAGATATTGTAATAATATAGTTGTCGTGAATTATTTGGCCATGATAGTTGTTTAAAAGAATCTGATATTGTGACAGCCCGAACTTTGGTTATATATTTAACAGTTTGGTTTTCTTTACAATGACCATCACTCACAGAGCTGCTAGCATAGGCTATTATTGACATGCTGCTAACTTGGAAAAATTGGGAATTGTAGTCCTATATCTTGACTCCCTGCACAGTAACTCTGTTGTAATTACAACACTGTGTCTCTAAATCTTTCCTCATACAAAAGAGAGAATACCAGTTCTTTTACACCTTCTCTGGGTCAGTCGGGTGTTCTGGGCAACTCCCAGGTGTGTGCAGCAGATCTAAAAAAGTCTGCTGTTGGGAATAAAAGAGAACAGCTGAAATGCTCTGTACATCTTTTCATAAAGGTTAAACAACAAAGAGTGTACTTTAAGGCGAGGGAGAAAATCAGAGTGGAAAGAACACATTGCAGGAACCTGGTCACCATAGCAACGGATGTCAGGTAACCGCGGCTCCCTAATCATCCAGCTGACACAAAACAAAATTGGGGAAATTGTTAACAGGAAGGATGGGTGGAGGGAGGGAGATGAAAGCAGACCCAGAGGAAAACGATGTAGAACATGGCGGATGCTCGTGCTGATTGAGGTTTAATTATCTGCCACAGAATGAATCGGACGGATGGTTGTGAAAAGATGTTGTGATGGGGAAAATGCTCCGTCACTCTTCCTATTGGACACAAATGTGAGCCGCGTTTCATTTGTAATCCGAAGACGACCTGCGGATTGATTTATTAGGAGAGCTGAGTCCAGACACACAACGGATCGAAGCATTTCTAACAACATCAAAAGGCACGAGGACAGATCTCATCATCTAACGCCTCATCGACAGGAAATCAGCAATTTTCCACTTAAAATTAATTTATTGGCACTGCTTTTATTCATATATGTAATTTTGTGGGTATCAACAGTTACGATAAGTGAGGGAAACATTTGATCAATAACCACGATTTCCGTCATAAAAGCGGCGCAAAAATCATACTGGGAAATATATATCGTATCAGAGGCAAAG